CTGAGAGTCAGGCTCAATGGCTCCTTCTTAATGTGGCCTTTATGGCGCTCCCCGAGCGGGAGCATACCTAGCTAGATGTGCTGTTCGGTACGCGTGTTGAGTATTTGTCGCGCCAGCCATCTGCGCCCCCCCGCATTTCCGGCCTTCGTGACTCTGTCTTGACAACCGGAATTAGGTGCGGTTGCGGTCAGAAAGTGGGGTAGACTCGGCGAGTTTACCTTCACTGTACTTCCGCCACAGTCACCGCGTGCTTTAACTCGTTGAAGCTAGCAGTGGATATCGTCGAAATAGACGGTCAAAACTATCGGCGTGAAATACATTTCTGCTCGCGAGACCGTTCTTCTTCTGCCAAAATTGCACCAATACTCGAAACGTAAGCGTACGGCAGAGCGGTACCCTGTCTAATCTTTCTGAATATTCTGTGACTACTAGGCGGTAGCTTAGTCGGTGACAGGTAGGCAGCATCAGCCTTTGGCCGAATGTCTTACTAGAGTGGGCCGGAAACATCGCTATTGGTTGCCTTTTGAGTACAAATCGCCTGCACTGCTACCTGACACATCTTTTTTGGGTGACGTCTGAATCTCCGTGTTTGAATCTTTCCAAGTTGCTACTTGGGTTCCACAATGCTTCAATTGTCGTCATGCGTTTACCTTATAACTGTCAAAATTTCAAAAAAGATTTACCCTACAGTCTTCATTTTGGCTCCACTGTGACCTTACTTTGATAGATCTGTCACTTTGTCGTCTTGGGCAACGATAAAACCTAGCTCATCTATCACCCAAGCGCTTTGAACCCCCTTTTCGGGCCTTATGTTTTGAGTTACGGCTGTCTAGAAAGGTGACTTTCGCTCTTTTTCTTCTACTGCTTCTCGATATTTCCTTTGTTGACGAAAGAATAAATTGGTATGCTGTTTTTAAAGCACCCGAAGAACAGCCTGGCTGTCTGCTGAGATTGCTAAAGTCTTTACCTCAAATGCCCTACCAGGCACCTACCATCGAAGACAACCAAGTACTTGACTCCAGTGTCATTTAGGAAGGCGCCTTTTTCTTCCCAACATAAGCACGGAAAATCGCACTAATAATCGTCTCACAGACATGCAGTTGACACGGAAGATGACAGTAGACTTCTGCTCTGTTGCTGATCGTTCCATTCCATTGTCTGACTACCTGGGCGCATAAAAACCTTGACTGTGGTTTAGGCTTCAGAATGCTACTACAGGAACTATAAAAACGTGGCATATTGTGGGCTTGTACGCAAGTTTGCAGCATGTCAGCGTCTCTTTGACATGGCGTGGCGTGGCGATTTAAAGATGAAAGCTTAGCTTGACGGCTTTCACTCTACCTAACTACTGTAATTTTAAAGAACAGGTTTCCGATAGCTGATGTTTTGCGCCTGTTGATGTTTTTTTGTCTCTCCTTCTAGGCGCTTTCAACCGACCGTCAAAGTTCCCAACACCCGAGGTTGTCACATAGCCAGTGTCATTCGCAACCTTAACAATGGCAACAAGTATCTCTGCGCCGTTGTGGAGAAAACTATCATACTGATGGAGTGGTTTAACCCACGCAAGACCTTCGTGGAAGTCAAGCGGGTGAGTGTTTCGGGCGTTGCCCTCTCCTGCCTCCTTGACTTTATCCTGACACTGCGCCCGGGTGGAGAGAGAGATTGAGGTATTTGCAGCGCCAGTTTATTCTCACGATAATCTGACGCAGGTCACCGACCCTGCTCTGGAGTACACGGTGGACATCGTGGAAACCGTTGGTCGAACTTGTAGCGCTCAGGGATGGGCGACCTACTGTAACCACAACACTAAGGATATTTCGTCTGGTGGAAGAATGCAGTCGGATGTGAGGAACGATTTATTAGTACGCAAGACAATTTGCCGTAAACGGGCTGTTTGCGTGTGGTAAATGTGTCTGTCTGGGAGCCTGTAAACAGCGGCGTCTGGACATTTCGTCCCATTTGGCGGCCGGCGTACCAGAGTGGATTTCTACCCGTCAGTATAGCGTGCGTATACAATTTCGTTAGTGCTGCAGCGGGGAGTTTCTATTGCGACTCAGTACTTGCGATGTGTTTGTCGGTTTACGGTAGACGTAGGTCGTAATGTTTCCATCTAGTTGGTGGCAGATGAGGAACGGGAGTCTGACCTCCACTTCATTTTCAATCGTAGACTGTAGATCGAGAAAAATCGAGTTCAGGCGCACTTTATAGTGGTTAATCCTACCCTAGTTGATGACACTGAAAGTGTCTTCAACGCAGCGTGTCCATAATTTGGGTTTGCACTCTTCGAACAACCATCTATCGAGGTTTTGGAGTACAATCTTGGCAATGATCCCAGATATTGGGGACCTCAGCAGAGTGCCTTTGATTTGATCATATGTGATCCCTTCAAGCGCAAGGAAAGTGCTGAGGCAATGCACAATGAGTTCTATAAGACTCTGAACTGTGGGCTGACTATCTTTGTTCTCGTAATTTTGACGTAGGAGGTCATGGATTGGATCGACAGCAGGCGTCTGTGATATTGACGTGAAGAGTGAGATAACATCGAATGACTTCAAGAGTAAAAGACTGTATTGCAAAAGGAACTTCGAAAATATTCAAAGTAAAAAAAGAAGTATGGATAAGTTGTTTTATTGACTAGTTGTCGGTGTGGGCATGGCCATTTAGAGTAATCATCTAAATTTTTTATACACTCGCCTGTACGTAAGGGTAATGCATACACAATTTTTTTACTACAATTTATGTTTAAAATAGATTACAATATATAGCATTTAGTTGATTTATCAGCATTTTCAGTTGACCCAATTGTGAAAAACTCGCAGCCCCGCTGGGGGTCGAACCCACAAAACAGGGCAGGCTTTTGTGCAGCCAATGCTCTACGAGCCTCACCGTGAGCCGTGAATTTAATTAAACTTGTATCTATTTACCGACCCAACCTACTGATCGTATAGAATCCACCATTACGGATATATTAAGCTGACTTTCCAGGCGGTATTTCCTTAGCAAGCATCTAGAATCCACCAGAATGACTACTTGGCTGACTTTATTGTTTGGTGGATTTTCTTAATTCAGTTGACCCAGTTGTTAAAAAATTGGACGATCTCGATAGGACTCGAACCTACGCCAACAAATAAAGCAAAATATCAGCACAGAATATGGAGCTGAGAGATCATTGCACCGCTTAATCTACTCTGGAGCGGAGAACTGCGACTCAAGCAGTTCATGGTTGCATCAATCGACTCAGATGCGGAATACCAAACAATCATTGCATACCGTAGAAAAAGACGACATCGATTAATTAGTTGGATTAGGTATGTGGTTACATATAGAGTACGTCTTACAAATGCTGCACTCTACAGTAGATTCCCTATCTGACGAAACGTAGTGTATTCACTAAAAAAGTAATTTTGCGCGAAGTCAGCACACGCGGCGTACCCCCAAGCTATTAGAGCAGTAAAGTAAGCACCATAAGTAAAAAGAGACATAACTTGGTAAACAAATTACTATTTACTAGCATATGAATATTTATGTTACAAAAAAAACTCGAAATTAAAGAAATGGCGATATGACAAGTCGCTGGTTCAATGTTTAATGTAAACATGTTTAAGGCATGCGAGTGGAAAAGAATGGCACGTTAATATAAAATAAGTATAAATACAAAGTTTTTATAAGTTAAATTGTTTCCATTAACATTTAAACTTGCATTAAATGTGCCAGAAATGGATGTAGTCACCTTAACTAAAGTTTTATTCCCAATATGGATACTTCGTAAAAATGTTCGTCTTAATGTACGAAAAGATCCTTGCGTCATTTGTATTAATTTCTATTGACAATTGCAAAAAGATTTTCTGTGCTTATCATATCCCGGCTATTGAGCAGAATAAAAATAGATTGAAGGCCACACACGTATAGGCTGGTTGTTTACTAAAAAGTTAGATTACAGTTGTACTTTTAATCAAATTCATACCATCTTGTGTATATTGAAAGATATTATTTTGTAACAATAATTTGTAATTATCTCGAGAATTCGAGTGCGAAGAGCAGCAGACTGTTTATGAAGTTCTGCTAAACACTTTACAAATTTCACTGTTTTGTTTTCCATAAATACCGATTTTGTTCAACTTAGTTACCAAAAACTTAGAAATAAGAAATACCTTAAAAGCATTTACCTAAATAATGAGTTTTTAAACATTTCTCATTATGCAGTTGCCTGTGTGGGTTATGGCTTTAGAATAACCCAACCATGTCAACTCATTGCCGAGGAAAATGAATTTCCAAAAAAAAGCCGAAAATGAATACGTCTAAGATTCATTAAAAAAACTTTCTATAAGAAGTCACCTTTTCAAAAAGCGTTTTAGTTAGATATTTTGAAATCGAATATCTGTGTACTGTATTTTTTTTGAAAATGAAGTCAAGATCAAGATGGGATATTTTGACCAGTTTTTTGACTTCCTTTAAACATAGAGATAAATACTCGGCAGAAACTGAAAGAACTTACATTTCTATGTAAACTGGAGCAGTTTTCAACATGTTCTTTTACTGCAGAGCACCGTTGTTTGATTTAAAATGCACAACAAAGTGACCAAATATATCTTTCGATTTTTTTAAACACGATAATCTTTTGCCTGTTCCGTTCCAAGTTTTTATATTCATTCATTTTCTTCTATATTTTGACAACATTATGACGGGGTTCGTTAGCGGTGTTATTAAGAAAACTTATGACATTCCGAGGAAGTTCATGTAAAGTCAAATAGGACCAGTTATTTTGGCATACTAAGACACATTTTGGTCTCTTGTAAGTTAATTACCTATCTTTGGGGCACAAAACGTAACCGATCTGTGAGGAAAGATTTTGTAAACTGAATTCATATTTCTTTTCTCGACAATAATGCTTTATCTCATACGTACACTTACCTCGATTTCATGGGAGCAAAACAAAATTTGTCATTTTGTGAACAGATATAATTCAAAAGTTTCGGCTCTTCATGAATTTTCTTTTATAGTGCAATATGCACAAAAAGAAGTTCTTTTCCGTAACGTTTAATAGAGTGGAAAATTCCTCGGATAACAACAGACAGTGGATTTTGCCCAGTTCCGCCTATATTTTCTCCCAGTATAGTGAACTGAACGGAATTCAATTCTAGTAAGCAGTATTTTGCGCCTCAAGTCAACCCAATGAACTAATTAAACAACCTCAAATGTGTGTTAAATCACCCAATCCCCAACCTTTCATCAGGTGTCAAGCCAGTAAACTTCGCGTTCCGGCATTCATCTCATGTCTTTCTGAAAGGATTTTTAATGAGAGATTTATAATGAATATGCTTGCTAGTCAAATGATTTTTCAACAATTCTGCGCAGTGTGAAACGATAAAAACAGGTTGACTAAGCAGCTGCCTGAATTCGGCAAGTGACAACCCAAGTGTAATTAAATTCCCGGCTTTCGGCCTGCCTTTGTAAATCAGTTGGTAGAGCGTTAGCTGTAATAAAGCCTTCCTCTGGCTGATGTGGATTTGAATCCCACTGAGGTCGTCCAGTTATATAAAAGTGGGTCAACTGAATTATTCAAATTTGCGAATCTCCCTGATAATAAAATGTGCCTAGTAGTCATTTTGGTGGATTCTAGATGCTTGCTTAAGAATGGTCATGGTAATTTCTTCACGTACAGTAGCCTGGGCGGATTAAATTCAAGGCTGTCGTCGTGCCGTCATAGCTGAATTGTTGGA